TTTCTTATCCGCTCTTCTAGCCAGCTGGTTAAGGCATTTTAGTGTTGTGTTCATGATATGTTCTTGTATGGCGTCTCATGCATGCGCAGTGTCGCTCACTATGATTCAGGAAACTAGCACTTTTTGCCCCTTCTTAGTTTCATATGCCTTCTTATGCAAATCATCTTGATGTTTGACCCCCTGTTATTGTTTCCCAGTATTGGAGGCCAATCCGTGGAGAGATACTTCAAAGCCTGTATATGTACTGACCCAAAGGGAAAACCTGTTGTGTACGATGAAAACCCGAAGAAATCGCAGGTATGATTTAATTCCATGGGCTTTCCTAAATCAAAAACTACTCTTTCCCTAACTTAGCTTTCGTATTTGTAACAGCGAAGTCGAAAGGGAGCTCGGACAGTTGTTTTCGCAAGGAGGAAAATTGAGATCTGGGATCGGAAATCAGACTAAACAATCAAGAAGTGGATCGAAGTTTCAGATGCTTGTGGAGGATGTTAGGGAAGGAGTGCTTGTAAGTATTCGTATACATTAGCTGTTTTTAAAGGTTTAATCTTGAAAGTTGAATAGTGGTTGTGTCATTACATATATTGTGCAGGTATTAGCATAAGACAGCCTCAGTTTGTTACAATCTTCCATTCTAAACACTTCTGTTATGAGAAGTGGTTAAGCCATTTGACTTCGAAGTACAACCACTAGAGAGAGATAGAACTATGGGGGGGGAAGAAAAAAAGGATTCTGGAGAGAACTAGAATTTGCAAATCTCAAATATTAATTCATGAAACATTCTTTGAATTGAAATTACAAACTACCGTATTTCTAGGCAAATCAAATGACAAACTAGGAAACTCAATCAAAATAAAATAAGGAAATGCGGTAATGAGAAACTAAGGTCTCGTTCGCTTTGCGGATTCGAGTTTTCAATTCAAGTTGAGATGTGACATTTTCAGAGAGTTTTTAATTGTAGTAAAAAAAGTTAGATGTGACATTTTCTGAGAGCTTTTAACTGTAAAAATCTAGAACTGAAAATTCGAATCGGTGAAATGAATGAGGCCTAAGCCTATTGCTTAAAAAAAAAAAGGATAAATCATTTTGGTATTCTATGTTATAAACATCTCATTGCCTCTAAAGAAACATTCTTTTGGCACCCTGCGGCCTATCTTTGAGAGGTACAATGTCCAAACCAAAATAAACGTTCTACTCTCCGATACATTGCCACAAAATTTTATTTCCCTTTCAGAAGAGCTTTCCAATTTCTTTGTTTACTCTGTCTATTCATCCCTAGTTACTTTTCTGATAAGTTTTGTTGGTGTGGTAGGTATTTGAAGACGAGAACGAAGCTGTAAAATACTGCGACTTGTTGCAAGGAGGAGGCAAAGGTTGTGAAGGTGTTGCAGAAATAGAGGCCTCATCGGTACAAAAACAAAACAATCTCCAAATCTTCCTTCGAATTTGAACCCTTCATTAATCTCTGTTACACTGAACTCTTTCCATATCCTTTTGCAGGTATTCGATCTTTGCCAGAATATGAGAGCTCTTGCAGTGCTCTTTCGCCGGGGGAGAACGCCTCCTCTACCTCAAAGCCTCGAATTAAATCTGAGGGCCCGCAAGCGATCTCTGGAAGACCAAGAGGACTTGATTTGAAGTCTTTAATGTGGTTGAAGTTGCAATATGTACAAGAAGCTGTTATTCAAGAGGATGGCTATAATACTGCAATATATACTAACCTGAATTTGTAATATATTTACCTTGTGAACGAAAAAAGAAAAGAAAAGAAACTGCTGGTTACGATTCACCAGTCGTATGGTATTAAATTTCACAGCTAAATTTATGATATATTCTACGTGGTGTATAATTGTATATGTCACCACTTTCTTTTTTTTTGGTCTACTCTTACACGCCAGATTTTCTTTCTAGAAAGATGACGTATTCGGATAGTCCTATTTTCCACATTGCACGCACAGATAAACATAAATTCATTTTCCCATTGGTTGGCGTCAAAATCGTGCATGGATTTCTCTTTAAAGAAAGACCTATTAATATTTCCTCATTTTTCCATTTTCCGATATCCACTTGTCCCATTCCATATTTAATACTCCACAATTTGCATGCCAATTTGCAGGCCATAATTGGCACTTTCCGGATTCTGGGTTTCTTAAGAATTGTTGGATATGCACGTTTACCAAAGCAGATATTCTTCTTATTCGCTCAATGTTTGAGTCAATGAATCTAGGTCATCCCAAATTGCCAACCTAAGTGGTGATAGGACTTGTTTTTCGCATATTCCGAGCTCATAAATCCTTTCAAGAACGTTTAATTCATAAATTAAAATTATAAGATTATAATTATTTTTAATTTACGTGTATTTTTAATAAGAGAAAATATTGTAACGAATCATAAATCATAATTTAAATCATAATATGAATCCCTTTACTAAATATCTCCTTCAACTTTAAAAATTGGAGTGATCCTTTCCTTACGCGTACTGTTAGAAAGAGTAATGGTTAGACTTAAGTGTTTGACCTGTTAAAATCATTTAACAATATGTAAAACAGACCATTTTTAGTATAGAACTGACAAAATGAAAATAGAACCACTTTTGCAATTTATTTTTCAATGTCAAATAAAGAAATTCTTGAATTAAGTTAAGGAAGTAGTAAATTTAAAGAGAATCCACCAAACTAGAAAAAAATGTGTATCATTCATTAATAATTTATGTTTTTCTTTTCATAAATTCATAATGTGATTTCAGGAAATAATTTTTTTGACAATTTAGAAAACAGAAGGCAAAAATAATTGAATAATAAAGTGATATTTTACTTTTTTTTGATAAAATAAAATGAAAAAAAGACCAAAAGAGTGAAATGAAAGGGAAGTGGAACCATATTCCGTTGAAAAGTAAACGCTCAGAGAAGCGGCAGTGAAGAAAAAGAAGAAAGAATTTAAACAAAAACGTAAAATAAATAAAAATTCAAGCAAAGAAGACGACCCAAAACCCAAATTCCATTTCTCTTCAAAAGCCAGCTCATAATTCCCAAAGAGGAAAGAAAGAAAGAAAGAAAGAAAGAGAGAGATCTCCATTGGATCCGGTCTTCGGCGATGAGCTCGGAGTCGACGCCGGAATCGGCGGGGAACGCCGATGGCGGCGGGAAGGGAGGCACTCCGTGCGGTCCGTCGGCGGCGGGGGAGAAGGGGAAACAGAAGGAGAAGGCGAGGGTGAGCCGGACGTCGCTGATTCTGTGGCACGCCCATCAAAACGACGCCGTTGCCGTGCGGAAGCTTCTGGAAGAGGATCGGTCGCTCGTCCACGCCAGGGACTACGACAACCGCACTCCTCTCCACGTCGCCTCCCTCCACGGCTGGATCGACGTCGCCAAGTGCCTCATCGACTACGGCGCCGACGTCAACGCCCAGGATCGCTGGAAGAACACCGTACTTCTTCCAATCCTACTGCTATTTCGATCAAATTTGCGAAGTTTTTGTTGTCTTCTGTTATGAATTAAGCGAAGTGTTTTTGCTTTTTTTTTTGGGTAATGGCAGCCTCTGGCGGATGCAGAAGGAGCGAAGAAACACGCCATGATTGAGCTGTTAAAATCATATGGCGGCTTGTCTTTTGTAAGTCCATGGCCTTCTCTCTACTTCTCTTTCTCTCTCTGTGTGTTAGTACGAAACGTCGTAATCGAGTAGGAAAAAAAAATTCTTTTATAATTATGTTAAAGTGTTTTATTCCCTTCTTTGGTTTCCCACTAGATGAATTGCGTGAATGTATTTCTGGGTTTTGTTTTTATGTTAGTGAATGCATTAGCTTTTGAATATATTTGCATTTTAATTGCACAGAGAGATGGGTTGTGAAGAATTACGTTTTTGTCATTGTACCTTTCAATTTATTTCCCGAACTAATACCAGTTTTGATTGTTGTTGATCAATATATAGAGGTTAACTTTCAGAAATTTAGTCGTAATAGTAGACCATGAAGTTGCTCCATTACTGCTTAACCTTCATAGAAAGCTGGCATAACGTTTAATTGGATTGCGAGGAAAGAGATTTTGGGAGCTAAATCCTGCATCAATATTTGGATCAAATAGTCGGAGATTGGGTCGACTTCATGCTTGCATAATAGTCGCTCTCTATTAATCTTAAATGGTCATCAATTTTAAGTAATGTTTACAACTTAAAGTTCTTAGTATAACAAAGATTATGATTTGAGAAACCTCATTACTTTCCCCATTCATCATCAGATGTTCTCAAAGCCTCTTGCTGATCCATTTATACCTTCTACTAGTTATTTATTCGATATTGAGTTCTAAGGCTTCAGTGTTAATGCTGCAGGGCCAAACTGGAAGTCATTTTGAACCGAAGCCGGTCCCACCTCCTCTGCCTAACAAGTGTGACTGGGAAATCGAGCCTTCCGAGCTGGACTTTTCAAACTCAAATATCATAGGAAAGGTGTGAGTTTTTATTTGTTGATATTGGAAATAATGGAATATCTATGTAGTAGGGAACGGTATTCAAACTACTCAAAGAAGTCGAAATTTAATTTGTTATTTCTTATTTGCAATTTTGTATTGCTTCTTTTAGCTATTCTCTGTTTTACTAGGAAAAGATAACTTGTTACATGATTTTACCCTGCAGTCAAACATGTATAAAGTACTTCAAAATTGATTTTGTAGGAGATGACTTTTTTTATTTCATAGTCCAACTTTCAGATGAAACTTCCAGAGTAGGAGAAAAGGGAAAACTAAAAGAACAAAAATAGAGCGAGCATAAAGAAAAATGATCAAAGAACCTAATTTCCCAAATTCAATTCATGCTTACTTTTTTGCTTCTTGGCCTTTCTTTTCTGCCAATGGATGTCTTGGATTTTGTGATTCTGCTTAGGAGTAGAAGTGTCTTACGTTCTGTTTTGAAGTTTGGTCTAATAGCATACAGGCACGTCTTATACATTCATAATTAATATGCAATTTATGCTTTGACTTATGATGCATGATGCTGTAGGGCTCTTTCGGTGAGATTTTGAAAGCCCATTGGCGTGGAACACCAGTTGCCGTCAAACGCATTCTTCCATCTCTTTCAGATGATAGATTGGTCACGTAAGCTCCATCATTTGTGTGCAATATTTCTATATAATGTGGTCGCAACTTGGTAATTATAAAATCTCCTTTTAGTTTTTCCTATTTCTATGATTTATTCCGAGTTTTGATCTGATTGACGTAGAGGCAACAACATAATCACTGAATAAGATTCAAATTATGATTTACTCAGATTCCTTGAGGTGATTTATGCAATATTTTAGTTCTCATTTTCAATATATGATGTGCCTAAGATCAAAATGGTTTTACTCTTCACACGTTAGGACCATAGGTTTTATGGGGTGACACCTTCCTCAAGAAAACAATTAATTGCTGTAGCTATAATTTTATTTCATCGCTACTCACAAAAAATACAGATTCCTAACCCTTTCTTTTATATTTTCCCGATTCAGTCAGGACTTCCGGCATGAAGTTATTTTGCTAGTGAAGCTCCGCCACCCTAATATTGTTCAATTTCTTGGAGCAGTCACTGAGAAGAAGCCACTTATGTTAATTACAGAGTATTTACGAGGGGTATATTCATGGAAACTAAGAACTGAATCGTGATTTCTAAAGTGTATTTTGAAAGCCACTGTTCATTACCTCATGCATCCTGTGTTTTCGTAGGGTGATCTTCATCAGTACCTAAAGGAAAAGGGCTCGCTTAGTCCTTCAACAGCTATAAACTTTGCATTGGACATTGCCAGGTACTTGAATTTTCATAAAGTTCAAAACAACTCAACAAAAAGACTAAAATCTAGTACCATTTAAGTCTGGTCCGTATTTTTTCTCCTCAAGAGAAAAAGGCTAAAGTTAGAAACCAGTATCTTCCTGGGTTAGGGATATTTGCTTTCTTCAATATCTGCAGGAAGCTTTTCCAATGAGAATGGCTGGTAGGTTTCTCCTAATTATGCTCCAGTTTCAGTATTGTTAAAAAACCAAATATGCATGATAATAATACCCTAAAACCATTGCCTATTACTTTATGCTAATGTCATTTTTGTGAATCGTATGTTGGCAGGGGCATGGCTTATCTTCATAACGAACCAAATGTCGTAATTCACCGTGACCTAAAACCAAGGTGAGTTGCTTATTTTCAAAATGTGGTTCTAGCAACTGCACTTTATGCATTTATTCAAGAGATTTATTTGAAATGTTGCCTTAATACCATCATTTACAACACTTGGCATGCCTTGACATCATTCTAATTATAACTACTGAAATTTTTGCCTCCTAATTTCAGGAATGTTCTTTTAGTCAATTCCAGTGCAGATCATCTAAAAGTTGGAGATTTTGGGCTGAGTAAGCTCATCAAGGTCCAGAATTCTCATGATGTGTACAAAATGACTGGCGAGACTGGAAGTTGTCAGTATTCCATATGTTGTTTTGTTGAAGAATTTAAGTTAATGGAATATTTTTCTTTTTAATTACTTTTTCTTTACCTCGTGTGTTTAACATGGAAACAAACAAAAGACCGGTATATGGCTCCCGAAGTTTTCAAGCACCGGAAATATGACAAAAAGGTCGATGTGTTCTCTTTCGCGATGATACTGTACGAGGTAATGTAGTTTTGTTCACGACACTAAAATAAGGGCAAGTTTGATATTAGTTCTGAATTCTGATAAATTTATGCTTAACCGATGCAGATGCTCGAAGGGGACCCCCCGCTTGCAAACTATGAGCCTTACGAGGCAGCCAAATATGTGGCAGAAGGACACAGGCCCTCATTTCGCTCAAAAGGATACAGCCACGAGCTGAGAGAGTAAGTCTCAAATTTTTAAAGTCAGCTAAAGCTTTGCCTCATTTGAGGGGCGCATCAACTTATTAGATTCTATCTTGCCTGCTCAGAGAAACCTAATAAGCTATTCCGACTCCGAGTGACTCAAAAACTTCATGATGCTCATCATCTTATTTCCTCCTTGTTAGCATTAATGTTACGCCCTTTAGGTTAATATACTACCGAGAATCAAATAGCAATTTTCCTATCGGGGGAAGCTTAATTAAACTGAATATTTTTTTCATTTCCATTTATTTCTGAATTTGGGTTACTTACTTCGGATGAATGTTTAGGTTGACAGAGCAGTGTTGGGCTGCGGACATGAACCAAAGGCCTCCCTTTTTGGAAATTCTCAAAAGGCTTGAGAAGATAAAGGAAAATCTACCCGCAGATCATCACTGGAGCATATTCAATTCGTAATAGGCAGCCACATTTTTAGATTCATGAGGTAACATATTTGTCAATGCCGTCATTGCCTTTTCACCTCCACATCTCTCTTCTGCTCAACGGGATTGTGAATACTCATGATTGGGAAACCTTTGCTTTGTCACTAAATAGCTCTAGTCGCTTGTATCTCTTGATTTCAATCTTTTTACCATGTCCATGAACCTTCATCCTGTAACTGGATTCTTTTCCCTTTATACATTTCAAGTGTAATTTTTTTTTTTTTTTTTTGGTCTTTGAATTGATAACGACAAGAAATAATAAAAAAAAAAATTATGTTTACTCCTTATTTATATATATAGATATATATATATATATGTATGCGCGCACGTATATATGTGTGTGTGTGTTTGTTTTCTCGAGTACTTAGATAAAAAGCTCGCCACCTTTTAGATCGTCTTTCTTGCCTTTGGTAATGTTATATAAGGTATAGACCATTGAGCTTCTACAAACGACATATTGAGAGAGACAAAATTTACAGCAAACAAAGAAATCTCTGCAGTAGGAGGGATTTCACTTGGGAACTTTTGAAGTTTCCGTTTCGGATATATACGGAAGGTGATGTATGAAAATTTGCATTCTTCAGATCGGTTGATGATTTTGCTTGTGTTCCTGATTGAAAAACTAAAACCTATACAACCTTATGTGGTCATGACTCGGAGAAAACTCTTACTGAAAATTACAACTAAACCGTAAGTTCCTGGTAAGGAGTCAAATGAGATGGCTATATACCCAACCGAATTATAATCTCTGTAATGCAAAATGTGTTTGTAAAATTTCCAGGTAACTCAACACTGTTGATCTGAAAATTGTTCTATTTCAGGAGTTCAATGCTTCCGAAATAATTTACAAGAGAATAGAATAACATTAAATTAGCTTCTTTTTCTCGAAGAAGGTCTTCAAGTGCCATAGTTGCAAACCTGCCACGGATAAGGAAACAAAAAGCGAGAGAAAGCTCAACCAGGCCATCCTGGAATTTGTTGTTTTGTTAAACTCCTGCATTTCTTCTTCTCTGGAAAAAAAATAATAATAAAAATGATGGAGCATAAGCATTAAGGATAAATAAATGATCTATGCTTCTTATTTCTCCACAAAGAACAGGGAAATAATAATAGAGATAATTCCATACCTTTCACGGAGATAAAACATCTCTTCATGAATGGAAGTAACAGTATCTTGTAGTTTCTTGAGCTCCAATTCCATGACCTAGCATTCAAAAGCATAATAACAGCATAAGCCTGTTTCCACAATCCACGCCCCAATCCTTACAATTACAACATCGGTGAAATAAAAATGAAATGGCGCAGGCTGGGAAGAAATGATATGCGGAGCTCATAACAAAATCTTGCCCCATAATTTGTTAATTATCTATTGTAAAGTCGGAATTTCAATGAATATTTTTTTTATAATTACGCTAAAATAACATTGTTTCAAGAATATAAGTAGATATAACTACTTAAGATTCACTCTTAGCTCCCAACTTATCAAACATCCAGGGAAAAACTAACCTTAAAACGAGGAAACAGAAGGAAACACTACGTGCCATGTGGTCTTATTCAACCCTAAGAGATCTCTCAGTAAAGATTGTACAAGGGAAGAAGGAAAAAGCTTCATGACTATAGAAAGACAAAAATTAAAAGAGTTAATTAATTAGCTCAAGAATACTTGGAGCCTAGAGGAGAAAAAAAAAATTGAATGTTTACATCTTCATAAGCACAATTATAATTTAGGGAAATAAATCCTCAAAAAAAGAAAGATGATAAGGTTTCAGAATCTTCTGGATGGGTTAATTTATTTCCCGCAAATAACAGTTATGCAGAACAAAGAGACTAGACTACAAGAAGTATTTGGCTGTGCTATTTGAATAATCACTTCTAATGAGAGTCTCAATGCATTCCAAAACAGTATACACAAAAACCATACATTATCCAATAGACCTTAAACAAAAAGAGATATCAAAAGTTCTGACTAGTTTATTTTGTAATTTGTATAAATTATAGTTCTGCACTCGGAATTCAATCCAGCTTAGTAAGGCTATGACCAAAGACAACGGTAACCCAGAGTTTTGATTTTCTATCCACTAGATAGCTTATAGCTCAACTACACTAGCTTGCCAAAAAGCCTTGAGCCATTTTCAAAAACCACTTCTCATTTGGTGGCATGCAATTAGGTTTACAAGGAAGTCTCATTCAAAGATTAATCGAAGCACTTCTCCTGACTTATTACTAACTCCACATCAATATCTCCTTGTTATGATTTCTCACTAACCCAATCATTAACCAAGCATTCTGCTGACCTTTTTCTAATCTCCAGACTCAATCCAGTACGTTTACCCAAGGCAAATACCGAAAAAATGCAATTGCTAAAAACCCAATTACCCAAAAAGGAAATTAGATAACCTTCCTCAACCACAGAGGCAATCAATTCTGCCTAAGTTCCCGGTAGCCACAAGGAAAAGGAAGCGAAATTAAGAGCCTAAGCTATAACTTGAAGCCAACAAAGCTCCTTTTCGGGTTCACAAAAAAAAAAATCTAATCCAAATTAATATCAATCAAGATAGATTTTGAGGACAGTCCACAATCTTCAAAATACATAAACGACTTAAGATCAACAATAAAACTTCCCTCACTCAATCGATAAAACTTACATCAACAGAGCCTTTCTTAGCGACATTGGACCAGTCCTTGGCGGCGACGCCAGTCTTCCAATCGAAGTCAACGGTCAACTTGGTCTGGGGCTTGTGATCAGGCGCGAAAAAACACGCCATGTAATCTCCGGCCTCCGCCGCCACGAAGGCGAACTGCCCCGTCTCCACATTCTCCGAGTAGTGGTAGCTATTCCCGTAATGCGAAGTCACCTATCAAAATCATCACCAAACAACCACAAAAACCCTGATCAAATTAAGACACAATTTTCAATTTCTTCAAATCAAAATTAAATCTTTCCCGAATTTTTTGTTTTTCCCATACCCGAACGGTGACCTTGTGGGTTTCGGGAAGGGGATATCCCTCGTTGGGGTTGACGATGCTGTACTTTCCGACCGTCATGGAATTGCTCTTGATGTCCTCGGCGATGCATTTGCTGTGACCCGATTGGAGCTCGAATTGGAGAGATTCGGATGTGGAGAATAGAAACCCTAGGATGACTAGAAGAGAAATTACGAGACTTGATTGAATCATAGTGGAAAAGAGAAGAAAAGAATCCAGAAACCTAGGGAAATTCGGGATTTTTTTTTTTCCCCTTTTGCTCTTCTGTTTCGGTGTTTTCGGAGACGAAGACGAATCTGATGTGATGAGAAAGGAAAATGACGGGGAGAGAAGTCGCGAAGATTCACGTTTGGGGTTTGTGTCCAATCAGAGGTGGCTGTCAACGAACTAATTGCGGTGGCGCGGTGAGTTATGTTGACACGTGGGTGGTTTTGGTTGGGTAAGACACGTGTAGTTGCTGATTTGTTTTTCTGGGCTAAATTAGGTCCTAGCAAGCTAGCGTAGCGAGGGCCCAAATTGGAGGTCGAGTTCGGCCCGATGTGCGGCGATTTATTTGCACCCACTGAATTTATTAATGCCCCCACCAATGCATAATTTATGTTTATTACAGTTTTACCTACATTAAAATTACATTAAACCCATTAATATACCCCACGTTAATTATAAATGGAATTAATATTTTTTTCAAAGAAAATAACACAGCATACACTTACATTAACTATAATTAGAAAGTATTTTTCAAAGGAATAAAAAATATACCTCCACTTTTTGTTTTATATTAAACCAAAATCAATCTAAAAACAAGAAATAAAGAATAAGTATTTATTAGTTTTGAATATAAACAATATAATTAGTTAAAGCAGTCAAAGGAATAGCTTTGTGAGGATCAAATGCGAGAGTTGTTCTTGTACTTTTTTGTTCAAAGAAGAAGAAGAAGAAAGACAGGTAAGACAAAGGCAATTGATAAATAAAGATAAAGAGAATTGTATTAATTTTAAAAATGAAAATATAATATTAATAGTTAAAAGGATTATATTATTTTATAAATAAACTAAAGATTAAAATTAGGTATTATAAAAATTATATCTATAAAAGGATAGATTTTTAAAAAATCTTTATTAGATTAGCGTTAATTAATTGGAACATCTATAAATTTTTTGGGTGCAAATATAACCACTCTTTATTTTCATGTTAGGGTTTTTTGGGCTTCTCCCTCTTAGGGCCGGAGTCTGGTGGCAACGTTTGGCCACCCTTCGGACTCCTGGCCCTCGTGATGGAAGCCTTGGCATCATAGTAAGAGGTCTGGTGGAGGACTTGTCCATTTAGTTGGAACGAGTTGGTCTTTGACAAGGTATTTAGTGGAGGACGTCAGACTTCGTCTGTCTCTATTTGGAGCGTCGGATTCCCGATGGTGCTACGGCCTTTGGGCTTTGTCTCCCTCATCAGAGTAGATCTGGGTGATTGTTTAGTTCGTGGCTGTGGTCGTGAGCTTGGGTAGGGTTATGCTGTGGTTCGGGGCCACTCACGATGTGTGAGTTTTCGTGAGGGTGGGCATCTTTGGGGATTTGGGGTCTCTAGGTGCGGCAAATATCCTCAGAGGGAGCGTGTCGAGAGGTTGGCCGTCAAGCAACTATGGGTAGCTCGACGAGACGACTTGATGGCGCTTTGCCTGTGGCGACTCCCATACTGTTCATATTTGTTTTCACTGGCTTCTTTACCTTGTGGGCTGCCTGTTTCGGGGTTCTCTTATTGTGGTGTTAAGTTTTCATTGGTCTATTAATTGTAGAGGTGTGTTTTTAAAGAGTTATATGTGTACTCATTACTCAAAAAACAGTCGTGTTCATAATAAAGAGAGGAACAAATTTCCGTCTATATTGCATATTTTTTAACATCATTTACAATGAGGTTTTATAAGATTTATAATAAAACTCTAATGACAGTTTTCAACACTTTATCTAAACATAGTTTTGATTTTATTCTCAATTCAAGTTACAGCTTATTTGCGTATATAAACACTGGTTCTAATTACAATTAAAATCACTACAATTCCAACTAAATCAACAATTTGAATCTTGAACCAAAGAATGCCTTAATTTCTTAAGATATTTGGAGCCTGTCCCTAAGTTATGAATGGTTTGCTGATTTTGTTATGCCTACTTGCCTTGTCTCAAAGAAGAACAACTACCAAAAAAGCGACTAGATTTTGCAACAAATGCCTCATATAGTTATTGTATTACATATGCTACATTGATGCGAAAGTTTTGCAATCTGGCGGAAGAGGACATGTTCATGATGTACTTAATTCACATGCATCAACGATATATACACACACACAATAGCCTTTTACTTTTTTTGGTGGGAGAATTTGTGGTCAATTATAGTCGTTGGAATCTTCAATACTAGTACCTGGAATGAAGACAATATCAACGCATACAAGTTTTAACATATATGAATCGCTTGCTGGTACAATTTCACAACTAAAATTACCAAGTAAATAAGCCACGGCCAAAATGTGTTTTCCAATGGCAGATAAAATGGGTTATTACTTATTGGTCACACCTAATGAAATGAACCAGCTGATCAAGTTAACTGAAAGAGCTACACAAGTTTCGGTTGTAGTATTCCAATTTCACAAGTTTTCTGAGGAAAAAAAAAAAAAAAAAAGGGGTCTATTATTGTATAGTTAGACTAGCGTTATATAATGTGTGTAGGATTAAAACCCACTTTGTGATACAATGGGTTGGTAAACTTCTTAAGTAGATATATATATATATATATATTATTTTATGACAACTAAGTAGGCAATTGTCATTGACCACTAGATCACGCTATATATAGAGTGGAATTTGGGTTATTGTATGAAAAAAAAAAAAAAAAAAAGAGTTAGCCAATTCATATTTCATACTCTCACCTTATACAAGTAAAAGTCTATTAGTCACAACTCATTTTGAAATTGCTAGTCGTGTTAATGATTGTTAGTTCATCATTACTTAAAAGTACCGTCCTTATTGATAAGGATGATTGATTTATTTAAATTTAATTTATTTTATATTTAATTTATCCTACTATTAAGAGATTGGATTAATTAGTTTCGTTTAGTATCTTTTTAAAGTTTAAAAATTTTAAATTATTAATTATTAGTAGATGAGTTCTTAGTTTAAATTATTTGAATTAGATTTTAATTTGGATTAGAATTCTCTTGACTATGTATAAATATTGCATTCTTGGGAAATATCATGTTTCAAATTCTAAATCTATTAATTATAAGCAACGTTATTTTAACTAAATTATAGATCGATTTTTTTTTTTTTTTAATTTAAGGAGATTTACATGTTGGAGTCAATTCCTTCTCCTTCACCTGTCCAAAAGCTTCAGGTTTTCACCGAGAAGATTGTTTTCTCATAAAAATTCAGTAGAGCATCAAAAGTAAGTTTCTCAATTAAGATAATTAGGGATAATCCTTTTTGCATTCATTTTAATGATGACAAAAGTAGAGAACTATATTTCAAATGCAACTAGTATGGAAAAAAGAAAAGTACTCAAACCGTGATGATTTTTCTTTCTTACATATTGCTATATATATATGGACCCTTCATAAAAAGCCTTGCAAAGGGGTAAAAGACCGGTTGTTTTCCTTTGAAATATATATCATTGAGTATTGAAGCTTAGGCTCCGTAATTTGCACTTTGCAGCAATCTTTTACCATCATTCATCACATGCCAAAAAAAGAACAGAACCCCACAGATTTTTTATAAAAAAAAAACTAAATTTATTCTCACTAACATTGTATCATTGAATGATAAATCTGCTAGATGATCAAGTGCGTTTTAATCATGAATAAAAACACAAATAAATAAATAAAAACTTCAAGTGGGGTTTCCTTGCAGCATAACATCTTTGCTCTTTACCTAAGTTCCCCAACATAATTGCCTCACCACTTTCGTTGGTTTTTCTTCCACACTCTGAAAAAAAAACAAGGCAAACTTTTCGTGAAAGGGAAGTTTGGGATGAGAATATGGAGGTGAAAAATTGGATTTACATGGGACAAAAGGACAAGGTTGTTCTACATGATACTGTGTGAAAAATCACCATCAAATGGAAGTTGTCCTAAATTCCTTATACTACGTCAAAGAATCACTCTACTTCAAGCCATATATAGCCGTACTTGAAAATTAAGGTTTTCCAGCAAAACATACCAAATGCAAATATACACATTTGGGATTCCTCATTGAGAATGACAAGGAAGTACTTTACTTGATAAGTTCTACTTCTCCTACTTTCAAAAGTTTGGTTGTAGACTAGCAAATAAATGCAATTTCTTAAAAGAGTTGGGTCTTGACTTAAAAGAGCTCAACCAAAACCAATATTTTGTATGTTTATTGTTGTTGGTTGTTACATTGCACTTTTGTTTATAGTCAAACTTTGTTGGTGGGAATGAAACCCCAAAAATGTTATAAGCTCTCACCAGTGTTTGGTTTGTGTAAAAGTTATACTCCAACCGAAAACACAAAAATGATGGATAAACTTAAAAAGAAAGACGAAAATGATATGTATAAAGTAGAAAATGGAAAGAAGATAGAATTATTCCATAAACCAAACGAAAATGTGCCAAAAATATGCATTAGAATCATGAGATTTGTAAGGTAATTGATTGTTATTAAAGCAATAAGAAAATATTCTACTCAGACGCATGTAAATGATAAACACATTAGTAGCTTGATATCTATTATTTAACTATTATTTTTTTGGGTGAAAGATTGATGATATATAAATGTTTAATGGACATTTTTACAGCTGTTGGGACAACAGAGTACACAAACTTTACCGCAGTAGACTAGAAACCTAGATATATTATAAGACTAGCACAAAAAAACATTATAATTACTAAGGTCAGGAATGTCATTGTCAATATTTTCGTATTTATAAGAATTCTCTGCAGAAAAAAAGGGGAAAAATTCAAAAAATGATCATTTCAATAAAAATTCTTATCTTAGAAAAGTAAAAAATATATAATATAAAATTCCAGTAAATTTGAAAGAAATAAATAAAATAAGCTTAGAAGAAAAGGAGATCTATTTTTCCGTGATTTTCCTTCAAAAGCCTGAATCCAGTAACCAACCAAACGCCGATATTCATCAAGTTTTACATAAAAAGGTTAGAAAGGGAGAGAGAAAGAGGAAGTGAGATTTTTTTTTTTTTTTTTTAAGTTTGAGTTTTATTATTTTGAAGAAAGAAAAAAAAAATTTTAAAAATTAATACGGAAATGAAGAATTTATAGCATTACCTGGCGGGTGTGCCGCGAGAGAGAAAGGCCGAGAAAAACAAAAGATTTTCCCGGAAAAGGAAATCGAAAAAGCTTCTGATTTTGTTCTCTTCCGTTGCTTTGTTGAGATCCTCGTAACTAATCTTCGTTTCAAACTCATTCCGTGTCTCCTATCTCTATGCGTTTTCTGCTCATCCTTCGGAAATCTGAATTTTTCCTGTTGAGAATTTGAAGGTTTTTTTTTTTTTTTTTCGGTTCGTTCCGCTTTCAGAATTTGGGGCTAATCGGAGCCTAGGGCTTCCATGCGGTTTTGATTTCGAACGTGAACTGAAAAGCTGAGAAATTGATTCGGTGCATTGAATTGGATGATCGGGATTATCGGAATCAGCCGATGAGACGGCAATGTGGTGTATCATAGAAGAAAAATGGAGGTCAGATCTGACGGCATACCGGTCCGCTGCGACAAGATTCCGGCTCCGGTGATCCCGCGGACGCGATTGCAGGTTTGGTTCATTCGCGTGTGCTCCAGCATTTTGGTATGGACGTGTCTGGTGCAGCTTGTGGCCGTTGGAGAGCTGTGGCATCCGCATTTGTTCTCCAATGTCACCAATCGGATGAAGCTGCTTCCGCTCCGCGTCGAGGAGGCGGCTCCGTCGCCGCCGCCTCTTCTTCCAGCGAGTGAGTTTTCTCCAATTCCAACCTCAATTTTCTTTCTTTTGTTTTTCTTTCAATGAATGAAATTTAGCAATAATGCGTATGCTTATTGTAACTTGAGTGATGCGAAAAACAAATTAAGAATGAATAATGGCAATCATAAAGCTGGAAAATTTAGGGTTATCTAAAACGGGTGGAATAGTTTTTTACTTTTGTGTTCTTCAATTATTATTTTTTTCTTCTTTAATTTAACGGATTAATGTCTTAGTTTTTAAGCTAAGGCCATACCTTCTCTAGAGATGTGGGGATGGCTTGTCAATTATTTCTCACTAATTATACAATTGTCAAACTCACACAACAGTTCTCGTCCCTTCGGGTGATTGTCATTGTGGAATTGATATTAGCTTCAAAGTTCAATCTTTTAGAGATGTTTTAAGTTTGGCTAGCATAGACATTTGATGAGATAACGAGATTTTGATCGTATTAGTTGGTTTAACGCTATCTAGTGATTTATATCCATACCCTTGGGCGGCAGATGCCAGATGCAAATATATATATATATATATATTAGATAAGATAAACCTTTTACACTGTAGCTTAATCAAGTTGGCAAATAATTTTCCTTTCGTATTAATTTACAGGAATCATAGTTTTTATAGAATAATGAATTGCACCTATTCACAATGATTTTCTTTGAAGAGAACTAGTCTCAAAACCACAAACAACTTTTGCTCCACGATAGTGATGGTTGAATATTTCTTCTGCGTGTGTGTATCATTTATGTATTTTCTCTAAGTTTTGTCAAATCCTATATTTTAGATTGAGTTGGAGTTTCTTGAGCTATTTCTCCCTCGTTTTCTTTTTGGGCGAAAAATGAGGCCTTGAGTCCTGAATTTTGCAGGAAAATATAAAAGTAATGGTTTTCTTAGGGTGTCCTGCAATGGGGGCTTGAATCAAATGCGTGCAGCGGTTTGTACTAGTTATTTCAGCTCCTTCCTTTTGTTTTGTTTTTGTTTTTCCTCTTCCATCTCTTTCCTTTTCTGCTATGTCTGGACTCTAGTTGTTGACAGCCAAATTGGCTTTTCAGATCTGTGATATGGTGGCTGTTGCACGGCTATTAAATCTTACGCTGGTTGTTCCGGAGCTTGATAAAAAGTCATTCTGGGCTGATCCTAGGTATATTTGTTGTTTGATTTATGTTCACTTAATCACTTTCATCAACGGCTTGTTGCAATTGTAAACTCTTACTTTTCTTGTTCAGTAACTTTGAAGATATCTTTGATGTGAAGCATTTCATTGATTCGCTGAGAGATGAAGTCCGAATTGTCAGAAGACTGCCTAAAAGGTTTAACAGGAAACATGGGCACAAGCCTCTTGAAATGCCTCCTGTTAGTTGGTCAAACGAGAATTTCTACATGCAACAGGTTTTGCTTTTTTATTTTCCATCATATTTTTCAGGAAAACAAAATTTGTTCACTAATTGCACATTTTTAAGGGAAAAAAAAATGCTGAAATACACTGAAGTAGCAGTTTTATGAAAATTCACGGTTCTCAAAGTGGGATACCAATGATACAGAACTTGTCCTTCTGTAGATACACACTCCTATTTACGATGGCCTTGAATTTGATTATGCAGATTCTACCACTTTTCCAGAAGCATAGGGTGCTGCATTTCAATAAGACAGATGCACGTTTGGCAAACAATGGGCTTCCTCTTTATCTTCAGAAACTTAGATGTCGTGTTAATTTCCAGGCTTTGAGATTCACTCCCCAGATTGAGACTTTGGGGCACAAATTGGTTCGCATACTTCAGGAAAAGGGACCTTTTGTGGCTTTGCATTTAAGATATGAGATGGACATGTTGTCTTTCTCGGGTTGTACTCGTGGCTGTACAGAGGTAGAAGCAGACGAGCTCAAAAGAATGAGGTTTGTGATATTCAAAAAGGAAATACTTTGCTGTTTGAATGCTCAGTTAGTCAGTTAAGAATTGGAAAAATGATGTCTGTTGATATTTTTGCTTAGAATGTTTTGTTGTGGAAGAGATGCTTTCTACAAAACTATTGCAAGGGATGAAGTAATTAGTATTGTCCTAGTGATCAGCTTGTTTGTCATTTTTCTCTTTAATTTATAGAAGTGTTAAGCATATATTGCAGCTCTCGTGAATTGTTCATTGGATTGACTTATTTCGTCCAGATATGCATACATTTGGTGGAGAGATAAAGAAATAGATTCTGAATTGAGAAGATCACAAGGTTTATGCCCTCTGACTCCAGAGGAGGCAACTTTAGTTTTGCAAGCATTGGGTTTCGATAAAAACACACAGATCTATATAGCAGCTGGTGAGATTTATGGCAGTGAATGGAGACTTGCGGCACTAAGAGCTGCATTTCCACGAACAGTGAGTTTATCTACTGTTTTGCACCATGTATTTTCATTTAGGTATAATTATTGCCAAAGACATTTTTCCTTGTTGAAATACTGTGGCCATCAGGAGGCCATTTTACGATTTGATGATTGAGGCATGCATGCTGTAGGTCAAAAATGCCCACGATGGGTTGCCTGGATAAGTATTATCAGCTAATAATAGATCCCAACAATATATTGAGTAATTGGAAAGTAATATGGTAGTTTTCATTTATTATCAACAAAAACTAATTGGGCTTTAGACAACTTATCAACTATATAAGACAGTGGCCTCACCAAGGTCCATCTGAAGGTCGGACTGACTTTAGAATGAATATCCATCTCCTTGTATATGAATCGTTATTGTTTTTCTTTTTTTCTTTTTTGGTTTAAGGATAGGCTTCTACATTAGTTTGTTTTTCTTGCTGTGTTTCTGCTTATATCTAAGCTCTCGTACTATATTATTATGTATCCTTTCAGGTTAGAAAGGAAATGTTGCTTGCTCCAGAAGAGTTGCAACAGTTCCAGAACCATTCATCTCAAATGGCTGCTTTAGATTTTATGGTTTCTGTAGCGAGCAACACATTCATTCCCACCTATGATGGAAACATGGCTAAAGTTGTTGAAGGTCATCGTAGGTATGTGTAGGCGCTTTCGCGAAATGGTCTTTACTTGATCAAATAAGGAAGAAACACAACCGTTTTTTGATTCTTAAGATTTTTGAGATGCTCCTAACAAATAACTCTTACAGGTATCTTGGGTTCAAAAGAACCATCTTACTGGATCGGAAAAAACTTGTGGGGTTATTGGATCTGCATCAAAACGGGTCGCTTTCGTGGGATGAGTTTGCGGTTGCCGTTCAAGTGGCTCACCAGAAAAGGATGGGACAGCCAAGTCGACGCATAGTTGTTCCAGACAAGCCAAAGGAGGAAGATTATTTCTATGCAAATCCCGAAGAGTGCCTCTGCGAGGGAACAACCCGTGATGACTTGTTTAGCTCTGGTAACTCAACTAAGCTTGGGTGACTGCAATCAAATCAAATTTAATTTATCTTCTGAAGTGTTTCGACAGAATCTCCTCCAACATAGTAAGGTTAATCACAACGTCTTCATAACAGAGGCATTGATTACCTTGTATACCCACACCCCCCGAGTTTTGTAGGAAACGGTAACAAATGACGATTGAGTTCCCATTTTGGGCATCTAAGTTATGGTGTTAATTTTTTTAGTGTTTATATTTATTTGTTCACAAGTGTTCAGCGCCATTAAATTATTATATATAGCAAAAAAAGTGCCTCTAGTTGGAGTTCCCGTGTTGGGCATCTACGTGTTATGGTTTTAATACTTTTTATCTAGCATGATTTAGATTAGTGTTTATATATATATATATATATATATATATATATTTATTTATTTATTTGTTCACAAGTGTTCAGCACCATTAATTATTATATAGCGTGATTTAGATTAAAAAGTGCCTCTAGTTTGGGTTCCTATCTTGGGCATCTAAGTTATGCTTTTAAATTTTTCGTGTTTATATATACATTTATTTGTTCACGTGCCCAGTGCCATTAATTATTATATAGCATGATTTAGAATTTTAGATTAAGAAATTGCCTCTAGTTCGTTCTTTATCTTAACAAATGTTTTTAACGTGATTGAATTCTCTACTTGTCACCTTTCAGGGGGGAAAAAAAAAGGAGAAACAAGAAACTCTCTACTGTCTGAGAATGGGCACCATCTGCAATTTTTTTTGTTTTTGTTTTTTGTTTTTTTCTTTTTTGGATACAGTTCGAGAATATGCCCTTCTAAAATGATGCTGGAACTATTTTTGAAGAAACATTTCAAAAAACAACCGAAAACACTACCAAAATATCTCCTCCCGTGCATTCACTTGGATCACTTCTCTGTTCACACCATGCATTAAACAGATGCGTTGGGAAGCTACAAGAAATGTAAAATCAAATGACAAAAAAAAAAAAAAAAAGAAAGACCAGTAAAGCAGACAGATCTTTATGCGTGCATAAGCTATCCTTGCCGAATGGTGCAAGGAAATTCAAAAATCCAGAAGGTGCGTGATCAACTGCTTGTGCAGAGTGAACCGTAGAAACTAGAAAGATTTATGTGCTAAACTGTTGTGCACATAGCATAATTCAAGGTCATAGAAATGCTGAAATCATTTAATGTCGGTACATACACTTGTACGAATCATCGCTATGGTGTACGACATTAACGATGGCTCGGCGCTCACATGTTCGAAACTGTAGCTCCACATTACATATCTTGCTCTCGTTGTACATGAAAAATGACGGAAAAGATGGACAGTGGAAATTCAGTTGATGAAGATAGATAGATCACAAATCTCAGTGGAGAGCTTATTTTCTGCAGAAACAAGAAGTTGTTTTGCTGGATTCCTCAAGCAACATATGATCAGTTTGATTTTGGCCTACTTGGGCTCCCAGAAGATGATCTCTCCTTGTTCTCCACAAAGACCAAGTTCCTTGAGCCTTCTCTCTTGATAATACTCCAATAAATCCAACTCCAATTCTCTCTCCTTGAAAATCCCATCAATGTGTTGCAGCACCTTTTTCTCCCCTTGCCTTATTCCAACAGCAATCTCAAGCCTTGGATCCAATTCTTCTCCTTTGAACTTCTCATCCTGTCATCCACATTCCTTTGACGTTTAAATTTCATACAAAGAAAAACTATCTACTAAGATGTAGCACAGGGGGGAAGAAGACGATTTTACCTCTTCAATGGTGGTGCTATAAGCAGAAAGAGCGGATTTGCAGGCGTCTCTGACCACTCGGCATATGAGCTCTTCATTGGCACGGCTTACAGGCAGCTCAAGATGGCCCCACGCAGAGTTTCTGAAGATGCTTTCCAAGAGAAAAGCGTCGGTTCCTCCAAGAGCTACCAGTCTTAGATAAGTAAGCATTCCAGGAGGAAGTGGACGGTCCAAGAAGATATCGAAGTATGCCGTCTCACCCCAACCATTTGTCTCAGCAATGTCCAGTTTGTCATCAAAAAAAGGGTCTGATTCTGATATCCCTAGTGTTAGTGTATACGCGTCACGATCCGCCAAGGAATCTATGAATCCATAGTCCAAAGCGAACTCAGCATTACTCTTGTTTATGTCATATTGTATGAAAACCTGTTTCCGAACCCTCCCAAGTTTCAGATCAACACACATCTTATATTTAGATCATATGGTTTATACAATATTAAGTTTTTACCTGCTCACCAGCCTTGACAGAGAGTGGGCTTCTCAGAGAGAACAAATAGTCCCAAGAGAAAAGACCTGCTGGTCCTTTGACCTCATGTGCATGATCTTCTGTGGTTACTTTGGAGCTGTGATTGATCTGATTAACAAAACTAACTGAATTCAAACTGAAAACCAGCAACAATAGAGATTTTATTTTTCGTGCCAAGTATAACTGATTGATTTCTTAGATCTTACCAGGTCTACACCGGGGATCAAAACGAGGTTTTGGTTACGGAGGCGTGAAAATGCCCTTGATCTGAGTATCCCAAATGCCCAAAAGAAATCATCCATTGTTATAGGAGAAGGGAAAAGCCGCTTGTTTGGGAGAATAACTTCTTCTTCCACCTTTCTGAACTCATTCTCAACATACTCTTTCACTCCTAGTGTTGTGCTCAAAAGTTGGGTTCCTGCAAATGCATTTAAAGTTTAGAATGCGCAGAAATATATGATCATCTTACTCTATCTTCCAGATTTCACATCTAAGCAAACGTATATATGTAAAGCTAATTCCCTAAGCTATTTTGGAATTCTCCAAATCACATATGGCATGTCATATATAACATGATTCTTCTATTTATATATAAAACATAGTAATGAGAGTGTTGTACCAAGTTTATTTGAAATATAATGGCAATGTGTTCGTGGCATATTGGCATTCAATTAACTCCTTTAAAATATCATTTCTTTCTTTATATCTCGTTTAAGTTTTATCAAGATGATTATTCTCATAAGAAGACATTTATGAGTCGCTTTTTACACCACCAAGTCACTTGTTCTCAACACCGCTATACGTACTAACGTTAGGGAAACATATCTGTAAACTATGAATATATTTGCCGGACTAAAATTTCTATATAATATCCATGCTACGCAGATGTAGCTCACTCACCGTAATTGGTGGAATGGAAATACAAAATAAAGAAGACGCAATTTAAGAACTAGCATAGTTGACCACAAAGTCAAAAGCAACTTAACAATAAGCATAACAAAAATGGGCAAACACAAAAGTAATGAAGAGTGTATAAAAACGGTGAGCAAACCAACCTTGAAGCTCAGAAAGCTCTTCTTCTGACCTGCTCTGGAACCACAAAAACAGAATCTTATCAACCCCAGTATTCAAACACAAAACCATCACTAGATACGCATATATACACGAATACATACATATATACAAAACTAACATCATTAAATTACTCAAAACCAAGCCAAACCCACCAAAACACAGTGGAGTTAGTACTCTCGGGAAGAACATCAAAGTAAAGCCTCCACTTAGAATCCTCCATGGCCTTCTCTCTCAGCAAAAACAGGGCAACGGCGATCCACGGCTTGAGCCCACTACACACCTTCCCGATCTCCGATGCCGCGACGGCATCTGGGTTTATCCACAGCCTCCTGGGTACCTCCAAAACGACGTGGTTTCGCGCGATGTCCCTCGTCGCGACCAGTCCCAGGCCCTCCGGCACCACGGCCGGCCTCGCCGGCGTCTTCGCCGAGACAACGCCTTCATCTCGGAGCCACTTCCAGAAGGTCCGGACCTCCGGGGAGACTGAAGGGTCGGATTCCGGCGACTGGAGAGACGTCGCTGAAAGAGGTCTGTTGTTGTCGTTGAAGTAAAGACTGGTTGTGGATCTCTTTGGTACGTAATTATGGAGGTGTTTTAGACTCAGAGGAGGGAAGAGAAATGTGGATGATGATGAAGATAAGCTATAGAGAGTCACCATTTTCTTTTTTCCTTTCGTTTGAGCTTGTTGTTGAGTTTAGTCAGTTGCAGTGAGCTTAATGCAAACGAGCAGAAGAAGTGGATATATGGGATTTGATTTATGGCTTCTGCTTCTGGATAGACTTTTTAGATTTGTCTCTCTTTTTATTTTGCAAAATTAACATAAAATTGTTTGTGTGGGATGGGCCGGCCCAATCTGAATTGCTAGGGGCTTAGGGCATGCCTATTATGAACACTTTAGTAGAATTGTTCAAATCAGAATTCTAGTTTTGATTTTAAAATTAGAATCATAATTTATAATTTTATGTTTAAATTATAATTTTGAAATTAGAATCAGAATTATGAATTTGAACCACCCAAAATCAAGGAGTAATTGATTTTAGAATCAATGATGATTCATAGTTTAAAACATCGCATCATCAGGGTTCAAACCTTGAATCATAACCATTTAAACCAAACACTAATTTTAAGTGAGTTAAATCAAAATTATTTTTTACTTTTTATAAACAAACACTTATTTGAACCCATAATTATAATTTCAGATTTAGAATCTTTATACCAAACAACCACTTAGTTTTAAAAAATACCTAGTTTTTTTTTATTTATTTACATAAATTCTACTATTACAAGTACAAAGTCTATTATATCCTCACATAATGAAAATAAGGAAAAAAAAATGTGAATAACATTATTGGAAAGATCCGTTTAGAGTCTTCATCAAAGAAAAACTTACTCATCAAATCTGCATTTAACACACTAAATCAACCTAAATGAGGAGGGGAAACAATCCCATTTAATTAAATGTCAATGCTCTAAAGGTGCGTTTAGTTGCAGTGGGAGATTGGTAATGAGAATGGAAATAAAAATAGTAATAGAATAGAATAAAAAGAAAAGATGATTTATTTATTTGGTTCTACTTTAACGAATCCAATAGAATGTGATATAAATATTTTTATGTTGACAAAATTACACCTCATGTTAATATAACTAATATCATATATATTAATATAATCATTTAATAACTAATATTAAATATGTAAAAGTATAAAGATATCATATATATAATTATAACTATAGTTATATAATTATTTATTATTATAATACAATCATAATATATAATATAAAATGATATATAATATAATAAAATAACTATATTGTGATTAATTTATATAATAATGTTACAACAATATTATATTATACCACTAGAAATATAGTATAATTATAAAATATAATATAATATAACATATTATAATTATAATATATACTATAGTATATTATCATTTCT